ATTTTATTCGGTATTATTTTAAAAACGACAAAATTTTATATATATATACTATTTTTTTTAATGTTTGCAAGTCGCTCTTACATATGGCGGCTCTAGAAGAAGTTTGTGAAGATGTTCCAAATATGGTAAGGTAGCATTCGAAATTTTAATACACTGCTCATTATCCGTAGTGTCTTCGCTATTACCATGTACATCTCCTTCATTTGATGTGCTGCATAGAATTCAGGCTATTGTATATTATGCTTTATTTATAAAATGTATTTTGTAATATTACAAAATATATAAAAACGTCGTACTTGCTGGCCCTTTGACCTAAAAGTACCAAAAGTACTTGTATTCCACCGACAATACTACTTTCTACTTTTTCTGCTGTTAAGATAGTTTCTAACAATAGGCTCACAGTTTCTCCTCTGTGTAATAAAAATATATATTATTTGCAAATATTCGTGTAAACAATAAATTATCATAAATTTGCAAGAATAAATTTGCAACAATAAATTATCATTAACTTACGATTCTAAAGTATTTAAAATAGGATCTGGATCAGCACGTTCTGTGGATGTACGTTGAGTTTCTCTAGCTACTGTCACCATATCGCAAAGTAATTGTGCCGCGTTAGCGTGTTTGGCTACTTCTGAAGTAGGTGCTAACAATTTTACCAGTCTTTGCACTAAATGTTGACTATCTAGCCACTATCAAAAAAACGCACACACACACATATATGTTGAAAAAAATTTAATTATGTAATATAATAATCAGAATTTAATTATATAACCACATAAATAAAAATTTAAAAATTATAAAAATCGTCTTACATTTAATATGTTTTGACGCATATCACTGCCCTCAACCTGAGTAACAAGTTTGAGTACTAAGTCCATGATAGCCGAAGTCTCTAAATGTTGCAACAACAAATCTACACATCTCTGACGACTTTTAAGGAATTCTAAAACCTGTAAGCATGTGAACTGATAGGAATACCAATTCTGGAATAGATGGAAATGTATAGGATGGATAGGCATATGGATAATATAGGAAAGGTAAGAAAAAGTTTGTTATTCAACTAATATTACTTGTTGTCGAATAAAATGTCAAAGATATTATATTAAGTACTTGACTGATCTTAAAATATATACTATATAAGAGTTTTCTTATGTAAAAATAAGAAATGTTTAAGAAATAATTACCTGGTCACTTTTACGAGCAACAAGAACTCCGATAGTTTTACTGAAAAATGATGCAAGTAGTGGATTTAATGGTTGATCTGTATCTATGAAAGAATATAATTTGGCCAAAAGTGCCTCGTCACCTGAAAAAGGTTCAAGAAATATATTTATAAAATTCATATAACTTTACAATAAATATTCTTCCAATCAATAGATTCATAACAGAACTCCGAGTATACCTGCCAGTTTCTCATTCAATGTAGGCACAACGCATGTGAGCAACTCGCAGGCAACATTAGGATACTTGTAACGCCAACGTTCTTCGATGTCCGTGGATGGTTCCTTAATAGTTAACGTAACTAATTCTTCCATAACGGCAGGCCTTGTAAGACTATAAATTATACATTAAAAAAATTTATTTTTTTTTTTTTTCAAAGATACATATAGAATAAAAGCTCGGTACAAAAGAATCAGATCTAAAGAATATTTCCACTTACTATTCGACCAGCTTTTTGTTTTGGCTCTTGCATTCCTGAAGGATGTCCTCCTCATCCATCAATTCGTGAAGTGTGACATCCTGTAATCGAGTAACCGATTAGATACTGTTTAACGAGGTTCCGGAGGATGGGAGGGAGGAAAAAAAAAGGCTCCCTCGTGGGGGAAGTATAACGAGAGTCTGAAGTCACTTGCCTCTTTGTTGAGCAATGCCTCGATATGCGGCGATGACACGTAATTATTCGTCCAGAACATGATGCTGACTGTGCGTGCGCTACCTCTGTGGCTTAATATCTAGATGTGTCGTGATTTATCGTAGCCCGGGACGATCGTCCGACTCACATCGGCGTGGCGTGGGGACGCACGCACGGGGAAAGGAAAATGGTGCAACACGTCGCGCGAATTCGTTCAGTCGACGAACGACTAACATCGCATGCACGCGTATATGTATCCTCCTGTCGATTCTCTTTAGCACTCTTTAGCACCGTCTGCTCTAAAAACCGCTGTCGTCACGCACACTACTTCCTCACGACCACTCGGTACGCGATTACGCTACTGTTCCAGCGGCTCTCGCAGCTACCCCTGGTCGTTCCTGAACAATTACGACGTAGACCAACGTAGACGACGCGAACGCAGTTTCCTGCCGCGGGAAACGATGCACGACGATGGTACGGTGTACGATATCAAAACCAACGAGAGAATCAAGTGCAATGAAATACGGTTGGACGTGCAGCTGAATGTGATATCACCACCGGACGCTCTCCAGCGCGAACAGTCGCTCGAGCGTGGAACACGACGTACGAGAAGGTCGAGAACGGAGAAGCGCGAGGACTCCTTCCTCCTTCTTTCACCCAGCTCGTCCTTTCTTCTCCGAAAAGTCCGAAACCGTTAACTGCACTCTGCTGCACTTTCAGCATTTAAAATGGAACGTCGAAGAGAGAAATATAACGCAAAACGAATTATCTGAACGGTTTAAATTGTACTTTTTTTTTTTTTTCACATTTTCTGTATTCAGGATGAAGAAGATATCCGCATATTTCGTATTTTTACGTATTGAAACGAAAAAAATGCAGCGCATTGAAAGTGTAATTGTAACGGTTGAATGGCCGTTTTATCGACTGAGACAGTAAAAAAAAAAAGAAATATATGCGGAAATATAATTAAATATGATTGATGCAAGATGACGTCACGGTAGAAGACAAATACTTTCATTTCGTTAACTACCTCGATAATTTCACGCGCTATGCTTAACCTAACCTAATGCCAGCTGATGCCACGATGTCAGCCTATGTTTGACAATTCGTTGCGACTTCAAAGTGTTTGACACTTTGACCGGAGTGTTTTCTTTCGAGCTACGTGGACACGCATCAATTTCAAAAAAATGGCAAGTAGCAATTGTTATTTACGTGAGCAATCGGAAATTCTTTCCTCGGCTCTCGTAAAGTTAGTATAGATTAATTCAATTCACATCTAACACATCTAACCTTAATCGTATTCGTCTCAAGAAATATGAGTAAAAGGACACAGAAAAGATATAAATTTAAACAAAGTATAGATTTAAATTAAATATTTGTGTCCCAATCAGCTGTTTTGTTTCTGATTTAATTTTGTTGTTGATTGTTTTAGGTTGAAATCGAGTCGATGACGAGATACGTCTCGCCGGTAAATCCAGCTGTCTTTCCTCTGCTGGCTGTGGTTCTATTAGGAATTGGAGTATTTTTCACGGCCTGGTTCTTCGTATACGAGGTTACCAGCACGAAATTTACGCGAGATATATGCAAGGAAGCTCTAATTTCATTGGTCGCAGCGCTATTCTCTAGCTTTGGAGTATTATTTCTGCTGCTCTGGGTTGGAATTTATGTATAGACAACTAGAAATTATGTATCGATAAGGAATTAATATTTTTACTGAGCAAATATCATGTATTTGTTAAAAAAATATATATATATATAAAATATGAAATATGGATTAAAGTTTTTTAATTTGTTATTCTAATATAGAGAGAGATGATACGCAATAGTGTAACTAAATTCGGAAAGATTTCTTGTAATAATCATTGCTGTAGACACACACATAATTCCAAATATTTTATATAGTGCATAAGTTTATTCAATCTTTATCACAATGAAGGCATGAAGTTTGTAATACAGGTACACAACGAGTTTTGTGACACCTCGAGAAAATAAAGACTCGCACTCGTTTTCTATAAACATAGACTACAGCGTTATTAATCTCATCATGCAATATTATATGTAGTAATAACATATATAGTTCTGTGCGAAAGAATTACTCATCTACTTTCATATTTGAACGTGCTATAATTACTGTATCTTCATTAACATATACATTCTATTAAATGTTTCTCTTGTAAAATACAAGTCTTTTTTTCACTACTTCATACAGAGAAGAATATGGTGTTTATTGTCGAAGAAATAATCCTCTGTGCTTTTCGACCGATATAAATTATACATGTTTCATTTTCACCGTATAGCACAATGATATATTTTATTTAGAACAAAATGGAATATTGCAGCTCTAGGATAAAGCGCATGAGAAATATGTTTAACCGACCAAACCGGCTTTCTGTCGACATCTCTGCATCAGTGCTCTCAACATAAATTGTCTACGCGATAGTTGCCGAACTTGCTTCAGGAACGCATCTAAATCTAATATGCCGGATCGCAGTCCTTCAGCGAGATAGTAAATAGCATCTTCCGTGGCTGCTTCTTCGGCAAAAGCATTTAGCATCCTGAAAATTAAATGATATTAATCAAATTTATTCATTACAATATCAATTCATATTGAAATTCATAAAATTATTTAGCAGTAAAATCGTTATTTATATGCTTACTGTTTATACAAAGGCGCTATGGTAGTAACAGCTTCATCGACATCTATCGATTGATTATCAGACAATTTGGCAATCTCTTTTTCTAATTCTGCCTCCTTATCTTGTAAAATATTAACATTTTTTTCGAGTTCCTGTTTCTCTTTTTTGAGTTTATCAAACAGATCTGTCAAGTGCGACGAGCCACTCGTTAGCTCTTGTTGCGTTCGTCGCAGCGTCTCGAGCTCGGCCTGTAACTGTGAGAACTGTTCCTTGAGTCGACGTCGAAGCTTATCTTCTACCGCAGACAGCAAAGATGCTCTTATGTGCTCCTCTGTGATCGTGCCAGATCCACTGGAATTTGGTTGTACCGTCGGCGACTTGCGAATAATTACAAATACTTATTTAATCTGGTATACCTTTCAATAACTGTGTTTAACAATAATTTATACATAATAATTAAGACTAAAATGAATATTATAAATGCTTTGGGCTAAAAATAAATAATAATTGTATACCGGTTGCGTGACTGGCGGATACGGTGGATATGGACCACTGTAACTTTGTGGTGGATAACTGGGCGTGGTTCCAGCATAAGAACCATAAGAGCTTGGATACGGAAATCCTCCGGATGCTGTCGGGGGATATGGCGGATACACATTACTACCACTGTATTGAGAACTTGGTGGATACGGAGGAAAGCCAGAACTTGATACATTTCCACTACCAGGTACAGGCATGAATGCTGCATGACAAGTTTGTACGAGATATTTAAATGAGATAGTAATAGAAAATTTTTTAAAAGCTTATTATGGAATTCTATAAGTGTACTTACACTGAACAGGATACGGCGTCGAACTTTGTTGCGTTTCTGATCTTGTCTTGGCATAAACTGGAGGCTGTTCCCCAAAGGTAACAATCATAACTTGAATTAAAGCAAGCAAATCTGAATTGTGCTGTAATATAAAAGAATAAGTAAATAAATATTAGAGAATTATTCATTTTTAGTGATCAATAGTAAGTCTACTCACAGGTACCCAGTCATGAAGATATGGCAAATAAATTTTACCATTGTGATCCACAAACATACTGACTTTAATATGCATATCTGCTGTTGGCTTAACATAGCACATAGGTGCATTATTGGGATGAGTATCCATCAACCATATGCAGATTGGAATATTGTAACAAGAACCTTAAAAAGGAACAAAAAACAATTTTTAATAGGTTTAAATTTATTTAGTTTTGCAGCACATTGACATCTTTCTAATATGGTGCTTGATTGAGCATCAATCAAATTATTAAAAATTGCTTGTCGGTTTAATTTAATTTGTGATATTATTACAGTAATTTAATTGTGTTTATAAGTCTGGAAAACCAATTCGGCGCACAGTTCAAGACTACAAATATGGTATATATACATGTACATACATATATATATATATATATATATATATATATATATATATAAAATTCACATTGAATTATTTAAGAATTAAAGTTCCAGCTTCGACTGTTATAGGCTTTAAATTCTTACTTGTTGTGTATTTGATAGTTTTATCGTACAATTAATATTTATGTTTAAAAATTACTCTCAAAAAAGATTACCTTTGTAAACAACTGGTATAGTTCCTTGTAAGTTGAGTAGTTCCTTACGCGAACCATCATTGAAAACTAGTTGTGAATAGCAAGTTTAATGAACTTAGGAATATAAAGAAACATATTTAAAATTATAATCGCAAATAATTTTACTTACCGAAAGGTTCAATTTTATACACCAAGCCTTTGTAAGTATTTAAGACATTTATTACATGCTTCTTTGTTATATCTGGATTTTGATACTAAAAAACAATATTCTCTTTTTATATTATGAGATCAACGTGAACATCATTATAACATCATTAATGTAACAATGAAAATATTTATACCTTAGATATGCCTTGTCTAATCCTCCCCTCATCAAACGGTGTCATTTTCACCATTTAGCGTAGCTAAATCGAGATAGCGACAGGTTCTGCTATCTCCTTATCAGACGTGTCCCAATCACGTATCAGGATAATTTATTAGACGTTGCAGTAATGTAATAGAAGTCTATTATCATTGAGCACTTGTGTCTGTGTTGACTGCCTCGACGAAATCTTGATACGATGAGATCATCAAAGGGATTGTTGCAAAAAATTTATTAATCTGTCACATACGAATGCGGAATACACAGGACATACCATCATGAACCATCATGAACTATCATGAATAATTTGGCATCACTGTCGTAGCTGTCGTTCAATCATGAACTATGCAAATTATCGAGAAATCTTAAACGCAATACGCTCGACTAATCGCAGCCAAGACACAATATAAGTACAAGCATATGGCAGCCATATTCCATCCAAGAATATGGCTGTCTTCAATAAAATGAAAATGCTGCTTCAAGAAAATGTAAATGCTTAGATTAGGTTAAGTTACCTTCTTCCTATAAATCTTCCTATAAATATAATTAATAAAATCATCGACGAGATACTATTAAAGACTGTCAATCTGAACAAATTTTCGGCCCGGAGATAATTGAAGAACGCTGACATTATCGACAATTGATATAAATTTACTATTATTAACATAAATATTTAGTTCATACATTATTAAATTCATGATTTTTATTACATAAATATTCCATAAATAAATATGCATACTTGTAAAGCTATAATATCTTATATATTGCAGAAAAATTACAATTTTGTCTGTACTAGTTATTAGCTCTGTTGATAATCAAACTTTGACGATACACTGAAATCACAATTAAAAGAAAATCGAGTATTATTGATTTCTAAATGCATAAATACGTCTACAAAAAAACTAGTAAATCATAAAATTAGTACAATCTTATCAATTTTTAACTCTTAATTACTTCAATATTTACAAGGACGCGAACTCCCATAAGACTGGAATCAGACTACACATTAAAGAATGAGATTGAAGATTGAAAGATTAGAGTTTGTCTACTCAGAATTTGTCTTCTGATTAGAGCCAAAACATCCTTGTCCTCATTGGTGAAATTTCAATCTTTAATCTTTAATCTCAATCTTCAATGCATAGTCTGATTCTGGCCTAAGGATGTCGGTCTTTAATAGTATTTCGTCGGTGATAAACTACAAATACTAATACCCGTATTCATAGTTTTTCCTTGAGAAATGAGAATTCCTTATTCTTCATTTCATGTTTTATAAATCTTCTTTGATCAAACAAGAAGCCTTATTAGCTTTTTTTTCTCAAGGGAGGTTATGAATTTCTTTGAGGAGGAGATGTAGCCTTCATAACCAAGCAAACCTCCAAATTTAATTTATCACACCTTTTTATTTTTGATAGATTTTAATTTAGACCTGTTGCATCGATAATTATTTTCGATAGGTTTTTTTTCGGAAATAAACTGCGTCAAAAGTATTTTCTCCTTTATATAATAAGCATTATGACGAATCCGACTGGAAGCACTGATGCATATTAAAGCTGTTGTATACTGACTTAATTTGAGTATAAAAATAAAATGTAAATATTTCGAATTATGAAATACATATTTTACCTAACAGTACAATAAAATATATTGAGTATTTCACAATTTAATCGATTTCCGTGTTTATTTATAAACATATATTTACATTATTTTGTGTATGTACGACAGTTTAATGTGCATCAGTACGCAGTGAGGGCGTTCAATCAAATTCGCTATTAGTGATTTTTGTCCATTATTGTTACAAAATGCTTAATCACGACTTTATTTAATTAACAACGCCTTTATAACCTTCATTGTTCACATATTAGTAATTTATAATATTAGGTTTGCATATACTATATATTATGACATATATATATATATGTTGCCTTCAATAGGCTACTAAAATCCCTAAAATATTCCTTTCTTCGGGAAGGCAGACTTGAGATCCATTTATGAAACAAAGAGGCCTTGGAGAATCGAGGAATCTTTCATGGAGGCTTCCTTCATTCTTAAAATAAAGAAGGACTATGAATAAATTGATTTAAATGTTTTTGAAAAGTGCGCATTATAGTTCTAAATATGGCGGACAATTTCCAATCTCAACATTTCTATTCG